ACAAAAGTTTACTACGACTTATACAAATGACTTTTATAAGTATGATTTATAAAATAAAGGTCAGTGACTGATTTTTATTTATGCCTTTTATAAATAAAAGTCTTCGATAACTGTTATCAAAGACATATAATTTAAAAATCAAAAATAACTTTTATTTGCAGATTATTTAGATAAAAATCAAAAATAATTGTTATTTTGGATTTATAAAATAAAAGAAATAACGGTTATTTAAGGAGTAATTAAATAAAAGTAAAAAAATTATTGTTAAAGAGCGATTTTTTAATAACAGTTATAACTGTTATGGTCCCTGATAATAACTATGTAAGTAAAATGTGAAATTCCATCCATGCCCTTGAACTTTTGGTATTAATTTTATTACGAATTTTACTAACTTTTTTAACAATTAAAAAATGTTTACGTTTTAGGTGCAAACCCATGTGTATAAGGAAAAAATCCAATTGCTAGAGAAAAAATTGTCAGAACTTTCAATAGGTAAGAAAACTTGAGCTATTAAAAAGTATTAGTAGGGTTGTACATATGAGTCGATATATATCTACAAAAAATTTACTTGGCGTCCAGGTTCTCTTATATGAATAGGGTCAAAATAAATTGAAAGCAATGAGTGAGAAAAAAAATCGAAAATTTAAATAAAGTAGCTCTGCCTGTAAAGAATGTCTGCCAAATTCATGGAGTCAAAGTCGATTATGGACTCGATCGTCAAATTTTCATAAAATTGTAAAAAATAAAATTTTGAAAGAACTAAAATTATGAGCTAAGCTTAAATTAGTGGTGACATAACCAAAACTATATAAATCAGCTGTTCCAACCAACCTTATGGCGAACACTGTATTCGATTAGTGGTGCCCCACCATAACGCCATAGCCAAACCATAGTCATAGAGACCAATTGAATTTTGGTTTTCCGCCATAACCATATCAGCTGATATCTGAAGTGCGTGTGGCCAGACGTCCAAAAAAAATATTTTTGTGCATAAGTGTAGAATATCAACCATTTAGCTATGCAAAACCAAAAAAGGTGGCTTGATAGAACATCTCACGCTGATTTCGACTGTACCAAAATTATTTGGCGCAAAAATATAAAAAAGATATAAAAGCTAAATTAAAATTTTTAGATTTTTTTTTAATATTAATATTTTATGAACTACATAACCGATTTAAAAACTAATGATGCAAAAAAAACCCAAAAATTTATCTTTCTGTTGATATGCATTTTTACATAAAAAACCCCTTTTTAACAAAATTTCATAATTAATGCAAAAGAAATTTATATCACTAAAAAAGTACAAGTACCTTTAATTTGATTTACATATTTTATTATGATCTGCTGTTGAGTTTTAACAATCTAGTGTTAATTTAGTGATAATGCAGGAAGTTATGCGCAAGTACCTTGTTGCACGTCTGGCAACACCGACATTGTTGACTACGAAAAATCAGCTGTTTATGGTTATGGTACCTATAATCGATGATAGCTAATGTGGTTACGGTTATGGCAACGGTTGTGGCTATGACGTAATGGTATGTCACCACTAATTTAACCTCGAAGGGCCGGTTTCTCTATCTCCGGTTAACACTAATCCCCCGTTAAACATCGTTACCGACCTTATCGACTCCCTGTTATATGCATGGAGTTAGAACGTCGATAACAATGTTTAACCGGGTAGTAAGTGTTAACCAGAGATGGAGAAACCGGCCCTAAGTGTATGTAAATAATCAAAATCTCCACGGGAACCCAAGAATAGCAACTGCAGTTGGTAGCTTTCCGTTGCTATTTGGCCTCTATAATATCATTTCAGCCACTGGACACTGGTCTCAACTAACTTTTTTTTGGCATAAATTATACTAATGCAGCTACGAAGTTGAAAGTCATGGCTGATATACGAACAGGACCAAATTCAAATGGATAGTACCACGCCCACCTTGACCACCCATACAAAACTATTTGTAGCTTTTAAGATTTTGATTTTATACCTGAAACTCATTTGTTTAAATGCAATATACATTCTTTTACCACAGATTCGGACTACGCGGACAAAAATATATAACTCTATTTTGAAACTTTTTTCTCAGGTATTTCCTTTTTCAACCTCTAAAGCCCCTCGCACTTCAACTCGTCCTGTACTTCTGAAACACAGGAAAAGGTTTTTATTGGAAATCAAAAAAATGCGAACTATTAAGTTGAGGATGCTCTATCTTCTCGTCGTATTACCGACTTCAGGTTTCCATCAGAAGTAGGTTAAACAGACTGGAAGTCCATTTTTAAATGGGACATACACGTTTTGACCACAGATTCGGAATATTCTCAAATTTTTTTTGCTAAAGGTCCATAATATGAGTTGAATTTATTTGTTTATGCTTTGACTTTTGCTTTTACTGAGGTTTTTATTTATTTTTTTTAACAACCAATCCCCATGTTCAAAAAAGTCCAAGCAAAATTATTAAAATTTCACATTCCACTAGGCAGCATCCAAAACAACGCTAAAAGCGCCTGCAGAATTGACCAGTAAAATGTTACGGCTCAGCAAATAGGAGCTGATTCTTGTGAATCCGAATCTGATATTTTACAATTTCATTTTTAAAGCAGTTTGTAAGTTTCACTGCGCTTTTCTGAGGATTGCCATTGTACAGGATCATACAATCTCAGGAAATGTCCTGAGAAGTGCCTGATTTCGAATGAAAGCTAACTTTTTTTAACAGGTTCATTATTGGAAGGCCTTTATTAGACAGATTGGGTTCCACCAGAACTTATTAGCCAGTTTTTTTCCTATTTGAAGGCAAGTAAACGACTCATATGTACAAATGTATGACACATATCTATCTACTTATTTATGTACTCGTACATACATACGTATCATTGAGTCCATAAAAGTTGTTATGTACATATGTAATTTGATTTATACTCATGCATTTACACATAGCTACCAAATCTACACCGTCCGCAGAAGATACCGCTGCTGCCGTTGCTTTGGCTACAGAAGCGACTACTGCCAAAATATCCGAACTTGCCGTCCAACTCCAACAACAAAAGGACGAGTATGAAGGACGACTTGCTACCTCTGATGATGAGCACAAACGATTGCATGAGAACATAGAATACCTGCGAAACGAAAATGAGACATTGCAAAAGGAGCTGGTGGAGAAAGATGAGAGCTTGGAGAAATTTTCGCTATCAGCGTGTGGCATACAAAATCTGCGACATGAATTGGATCTGCTTAAGGAAGAAGCCGAGAAGGAGCGCCAACAATTGCAGGCCGATTTTGCGCTTAAACTGGGGGAAACGGATTTGTTGTTAGACACGCTACGCGCCGAAATAACAGCGCAGAAAAATTCGCTTACAACGCTAGAAAGCGAGCGATCCAATGTTGAAGATGAATGCGAAATCCTCCGTACCGAGTGCAAAAATCGTGATACACAGCTGCAGGATATTAACGAACAATTGGCAAAATTGAAGGCGGAGTACAGCATGCAGAAGGCAGAGAATGCGACATTGGAGGAACTGTTGAAGACGCAACAGGCGGGCTTTTTGCAGGCGAAGACGCAGTTGGAAGAAAATCTATTAGAAATGGAGAAATTAAATGGGAATATAGTTAGCTTGCAGGAGGTGAAGGAACTGTCAGAAACGCAGCTGAAAACGGCCAATGAAGAAGTAAAACGCTTGACTGAGCTGAAGAAGAGTTTCGAGGAGAAGTTGCAGGCTGCGACTAGCGCCGATCAAGAAAAGCTAGTGGGCATAACGCAGCTGGGTATGGTTATGGAAGAATTGAAAAAACAGATTAGTGAAATTACAGTGGAAAATGAAAAGCTAAAGGCCGAACTGAAGAAGCAACAGGAAGCCAACACTGTCGCCAATTCTTCAGAAGCAGAGCTGCGAAAACTGTTGGAAGAAAAGGAAAGAATGTATAGAGAGCAACTTAAGGAGTTAGGAAAGACAAGTACGAATCTGGAAGAGCAACTGAAAGGCGAGCAACAAAAATCGCAGGCAAGCTTAACAGAAAAGCAGAAGGAGGTGGAGGCTCTCATCATTGAAATCACCCAACTGCAACAACGCGTAAAGAGTTTGGAAAGCGATTCATCGGCAAGTGTACAACAATTAAGCTCCAGAATCATCGAACTCGAATCGCAAACAAGACGGCTCGAGGACGATGTCAAATCTAAGGAAGCTGCGTTGAAAGAAAAAACAGAGGCACATGCGCAGCAGGAGCGTCTACTTGCTGAGAAAATCGAAAGTTTGAATTCGACCTCAACTGCGTTAGGCACTACAAATAATCTGGCGAGCAAACTGAGGCAGGAACTTGAGGCAGCTTTAACCAATTGCGCTGAGTTTGAGGCCAACAGCAAGACACAAGGTGAGCTCTGCGCTAGCCAAAAACTTGAAATCAGCGATATGACACGCAAATTAGATAGTCTAAGCACAAAAAGTGATATGCTGCAGACACATAACGAAGCGCTGGAGAACGACGTACGAGCCGCGCGCTCGAACTGCACCGAGCTTCAGTCCGACCTGCGAAGACTTAATGAAGAACTTGCCACACGTCAAAAGCATTTACTCGAATCACAAACGAACAGGAACGATGAACGATTGAAATTAGAAATCCAGCTAGAAGAGATCAACCAGAAATTATTGACGACAACGAAACAACTGGGAGAATCCCACGTAATTTTGGAACGAACCCGCAACGAACTATCAAAAAAGAACGAACAATTGGCTATTTTCGAGGAGAAGGCGATCAAGCTAGAGCTGGCACTCAGTGACGGTCAACGGCAATTCGAGAATTTGCAAGGTAAATATGAATCGCTGGCCACACAAAATAAGGCACTGGAGGAAGACTTGAACACGCTGCGTACAACGTCCACTGACTCGAATAGTGAGCTGTTGAAAATAACACAGCAAGCGGCAGCAAAACAGAAAGCTTACGATGAACTTTTAGATAAAACAAACACGGAGCGCGGCGTTCTCCAGGGGCAGCTTCAGGCGAGTCAACAGCGCATCGATGCCTTGTGCAGCCAAGTAGAAACGCTTACACAGGAGATGAAAATCGCGACAGCGGATAGCTTTAAGCGAAATGAATTACTCAAGCTGGAGCAAGAAAAGTGCGGCAAACAGGAACTCGAACTGGGCGTATTATCACGCAAGCTTGAGGCGCTCTTTTCAAAATACACTGGGTTAGAAGCCGAAAATAAGAAACTTCAGCAGGATTTGGATTTCTCGCAGGACGGCTCGACCACCCTAAATGAAGTTGTAACAAAACTGAACAATGAGCTTACTAAGAATAAGAAATTGCTGCAGGACCTTACAGATAAGTCAGCCGCAGAATGCCTCCAATACGAAAATCAGGCGCAAGAATTAGAACAGCGTCTTCAAACAAGTATTCAGGATGCGGATGGGCTGCGCAGTCAGCTGCAAGTGACAGTGGAATCAAAAACTGCACAGGCTAAAGTGTTTGAAGCGCTACAATCAAAACTTCAGACTCAGTCAGCACAGCAGTTGAGAGATTTAGAAGAGAAGGAAGCTGGAGAGCGGAATAAGATTATCGAAAATTTCGAAGCGCAGCTCAAAAGT